TTTATTAATGGTTTGAGTGTTATGAATACAGTTTTGAATTAGTTTTTTTTTATATTGTTAATATGATAGGGTTATTTAAGAACATATTTGTGCTTATTTAATAAAATAGGTTTTATTATATTAGGTTTACGATATTAAAAATATATTTTGCTGCAGTATATAATAAAAGGATTTTTATAGGACATTTTTGTATAATTTATAAATCAAGTAGTTTATAAATTAAATATTCTGTAACGTATAGTTATCAAACGTCGTTATTTTGTCGCTAAAATGAATGCAGTAACGAGTGGACTTAGTCTATAAATACGAGTTCAATGATAAACGACATCGTAATAAAAATATTCATAAATTCCGAAATTCTAAATGTCTGATTTACAACGTTCCTACATAGTTTTCAAGGCGCTCGGACGGTTACAAACTATCATCTGAGAGACTAGACAGAAATATGTATATTATTAAGATAAGAAATATGCAATGTCTAATTTTGTATCTCGCCGACTCATATTTGCGAAAACATTTTTTAAGTTTGTTTTTATGAGGTGCAACTGTAAGCACGCTCCCGAAGCATCTGTAGAATTATACTCAATAAATTATATGTGTGATATTTTTGTTAAGAGACTTGGCTTCTGGCCACTATATGCTGATATTATGATATCAGACTAATAATCGATTAGGCGATGAAATGTTTTTTTCTCAAATATTCATAGAAATTGTTCGTGTTCTCGTTTTAAACATTAGTGTCCATTCGTTGCATAATATATTGCAGCTAGTTTATAACAGATATATTACTTGAATAACATATTTTTTACACTGAATCACTAAAATTAAATGATTATATAACGCAAGCAAATTTGATAAAGATACCTTGCAACTGTATATTAAATTAAAATTCTAGGAAGACGTGTTATTACTCTGGTTTTTTTTCTACACTAATTGATTCAGTCAAGTAAGCACCTTTTCGAGGCGATTCGTTTTAATCGAAGCATTGAAATTAAATAAATTTGTTAAATTATAGTCATATATACAAGAACCAGTCAAGACCGGCAAACGGGCGCCTCAATGACGTACACAATAAATAAAAATTAAGGGGAGACAAGACTCCACGTAATATACTGCTAGTTTACTACACGCCTCTGGCGGACTCGATCGCTGACTGCTTTTTAATTACTATTTAATAAGTCCACAGGTTATTTACAAATTGAAAGTACCACAATTATAGTATGAAGGTAAAGGTGACGGATGTCACTGACATGTCAAGGTAGTGATGAAATGGAAAAGACGGGAAGTATGTATGTGCAATGTCGACAACCTTGCGGTAAAATCTACTGAATAGAGTCGTGTGTGGTACCACAGTACTGACTTGTTCGTGTCGTAAATGGCAAACTCTGACATTATGATAATAATAAAAAGATTTTATATAAAGCCAGACGTATTGAATAGTCAAGCTGTTTTATAGTCACAAAACAACATTAGTTTGGTTCTGTATATATAATATGTATCCTTTCTAATGTGTAGAATGAGTCATGATAGTTTATTCGCTTAATTCGTGCGATCGGGGTTGACCTCAGGTGTGGGACGCCTGCGGTGTTATGTAAAGCGGGTGTCAGATGTCCGCAACAGGTGTCGATCGAACCTCGTAAGTTATTGCCTCGCATCGGTTAATCAAGTTTATGTTGGTGTTAATGTGAAAGAATAACCAGTCCATTTAAAACGCATGATCGTCATGGTATTTCCATTTGTGCGAATTATGTCGTCCTTGTGGGCTGACATTATAAAAACCTATAGGGAAGGCAGTTTATATTGTAAGAGTTACGGGAAAAACTGTTTCATATGATGCATATTTCATTCATGAATCTTAAACTTCGGATGCCTTAAAATGTTCGTACAGATTAAAGTGACATTTGTCACAGTTTACTTATATGATTGATGAAATAGATATGGTACTTTTTTTAAATCAAGCTTTTCATAACCACTTTAATATCGATTGAAATTAATATTAAGCAGACTATTCGTCATTTGAAGGACACTTACGTACGAGTAATATGCGAATCCGAAAACATTTATTATCTTAATTAAAATAACATTTCTTTAAATTTAAATTGGAAAATGAATTAGGGTTAAATATAGAGCTCTTTGGGTTATAAAATTAATGAGGAAAATAAAATTCTGTGATAACTGTAATTTTGGGTGTCTTATGATCTTAAACTAAAATTTGTAATATTATGAAATTGAAATTTAATACGAAAAGGGGAAAACAGCTTATGAACTTATTTATGCGATTAAATTCTACGGAAGAACTATGTGTTAAAAGAAATAACACAAACATCAGCTATCATGTCAGATGGAACTTACAAGAAATAAAACAACAAATATTTTTACAAAATATTGGTTGAGTGTTAAGTACTTCATTTATTACATTTCGAATTTACCAACTAAACGTTACAAACAGGATGACTCTGGGCTGGATAAGCATCAAAATAACTTGCATGAAGATGATTATTTTTATATAAAATTAAAATGCAAGCCTCTCGACAGCATTTATCTAAAACTTAATATGCAAGCCTTCCAAGTCATTTAGGTATACGCTTTATTGAAGCGGCACGGCTACGCTTCCACGACCAGACCGTGTCTCTTTGCATGTTTGACATGTAATAATAATGATCTTTATTATGACAATGAAACAGTCATTGTTAGAGCATGCTACGCTTCATAGGTTGCTAATGGTATTTGGTACTTAAGTTTAAATTGATCTTTATCAAGGAATGTTAAACAAATGAATCGATCTTTTGGCCCTATTGAGATTATTGAATATTTTATAGATTAGACGTATTAAAAAAAAAACTGCACATATCGAGCACCAATTTCCATAAACAGATCTTGGAAGGAGCATCAAGCGGGCGACGCCAGTACTTCATTACTCTGGTGAGCCGATGCTGGCTTCTTGCCAACATTTCCAAGAACCCGACAGAAGGTTACGAGACGTCTTGCTTTAGTTTTATGCCTAAACGATCTACATATTTTTTTCATCTAACTTAACCAAAGCTATCAAGGGTCGGAAGTGATGTTTTATAATATACACTAATATTTGTTTTTCTTCTTTCGTTGCATTTAATATGTAGATATTCTTAGTTTAGTAAGTGACTGCGAAGTGGCATGTTTAACACGACATTTGATTGTCGCATCCTTATAGAGGCGCTTCACCCTCCATCCTCATTTAAAACGAGGATACCGAAACAATAATGTTTAGAAAGTATTAACTGTTCATTTGATTTCCTCTAATAGCTTAAACAAAAATTTGTAATATCTGAAATATCTGTCATAATATTTTAAAAATATACAACGATTTTCATTACACATTTCATTTGGGATTAATGATTCGATCGAACAAATGAAAACTCAGAAACGTTCAACTGTTAATATGTATAATATAAAACATTGTAAGACTGGCGGAAAAATTGAGAAGCTTTAAAATTAAAATCTTACAACCTGCACTTTTATTTTTAGATGTCCTTACGTTTAGCGGTATGTTAATGGATCTCATTAAACCGTCGGCGCATAGGTTTCATTTTTACGTATTAAAGTTATTATTAGTTGAACATATAAACAAAAAACCAATGTATTCATTTAAAGATATTGACAACTCAAATTAAAACAATTCATACAGTCCCTAAAACGTTTTTTATAGAAGAATATTGTTAAAAATATTAATTGGATTAGCAGTATGTTATTAACAATTCGTATTTAATTTTGTTTCGATTAACACGTGGAAGATAATCGATTAAATCAATCCAGCTATCAATTTCACGTTATCATATTAACATATTGTTAAATTAAATGTTCTGATGAGTCACAAGTGATCTTGAGGTCAAATATTTAGTTTCTATCCACTCAAACTATACTAGAAAAGTAGCGTCATTATACTATAATATAATTATATTGCCAAAAAATTCATTATGGAATTTTTAATAAACCGTATGACGTTAATTTGGAAGAGAATTTTATTTTGTTTGTTTTATATTGTTTGAGTTATTTGAAATTTTGTTTGAATTACGAATCTGTTTAAATATAAAGAGTTTGTGATGAATAAATAAAACGAAACAGCAAAGCGCCTTGACGTTATTTTTTGACGTGCGGGTTAAAAAATACAGTGTAATATGTTTGGCGCAGCGCATCACTAAATACAATTTTAAAAGTTGTTTTATGTTAATGTATTTATCAAAGACTGTTCGTGACACTCGTTGTCTCGTCATCTCGTGCTATAAATCATACAGAAACAGTAAATTAAATACGGATATGCGTTTGACCGCTTAAATTCATTCCGATGTAGGCCTTGCAGGTACTTGCAAATTTAATCTAGAATTTCTGTTAAATAAAAGATAAGCTCCGTGAATTTATCGCATTGCTGTGTGATTAATTAAAATTTAAAGTGGCATTTTGAATCGTGACCGCCATTAAATTAATTAATAAATTTTCCCACTGTTAAAACAATTGTCCAAGATCGTGATACATTTATCATTGTGCTCGGAAAGGTTGCTACTTTCCAATAATTCGCTCTCATATAAATTAAATAGTGAAGGTGTCCGTTATTAGGAGTGCTGTTTTCTATTGGTATCTTACTTTTCCTCATATCGATGAATGACACACTGTTCGCTTTTACTCTATACTTTCTGAAAGACAATTGTTTTACGTAGCCATAGAAATACATCTTGAAATTATAATCGTTTGACAATACTTAATTTTATTTTGCAATTACAGTTATTTACTGTAAATTTTATTATCACTTTTGCGTAAAGCTTTTAAGAAACGTATTTATTTGACGGAACATTAAAATTGTAATTTCCTTTCGTTGTTATGGGCAAGTTTTTAATTAGTTCTGCTATTGCCAGTTTAGTGAAAAAAAGATAAATATCTATTTGTTTGTACTTCAAAGGGTTACTTCGATTTAAATAAATGTTATTTATTGAATGGTTCTCTATATACAGATTTTTTTTTTGTTTCAGAATGCCAGTTTGGTAAACAAGCGAAAGAGTTAGGTTCCACATGGTTCGCGGACCTGGGCCCTCCTTTCGGTGTGATGTACTGCATCAAATGTGAGTGTATGCCGGTGAGTAAGTGGATTTTTATCTTCTAATATGAGTATAAGTAAGTTTAAAGAAACTTTATAGAAATAGTGTAATACGATTATGATATGTTTATATACAAATGTTTTCATTTGAGAATTCGATTTGAAGGACGTGGATTGCTAGCAGGAACAATACAATAGTGCAGTTTAATTACAGATGTATGTTATGATACAAAAAGTAGCTCGCATATTATTCTAGTGCTACTTAAATTTTTAGTTAGAATCCTATAAGTACCCCTTGTGTTTAAACGACAAACAATTGTACTTTATCAGGATATATTTGGGGATTATTAATGAGATCTAAGACTTTAACGAGTATATATTTAAATGAAAGTAATATTTTCGGATTACTACGTATATTTATTATACTAAATACTGTGGATGTTTCTGTTACTTTACGGCAACCACGATCACAGACAGATGAGATGACATTCATATTTTGAGTGGGTAGTTTTACAACAATAATAAAATATGCGTAATAATCCGAAAATATAAGTTACATTTGAAAATTATTGTTTGACGGTTATATTACGTTTACAATTAATTTTAGGTACAAAAGAAACGTCGCGTGGTAGCTAAGGTCCAGTGTCGAAATATTAAGAATGAGTGCCCTGAACCGTCTTGTGACACTCCGACTTTATTGCCCGGGAGATGCTGCAAGACATGTCCAGGAGATATCAACTGTAAGTAAATAATTTGGTCATTATACAGTCATACAGTATATAAACACAGTCTCTATCTACGTTTTAGTAGGTTAATAAAATATTGCCTCTTTTAAACACTGCCTATGATTCATACTACTTAATTGCAATCCAATATAATATGTAGCTTAATAAAAGAAGTTTAACTGTGACGAACACAAAAAATATTAGTGTATTATAACTATTATAAAGTTTTAAATATATAATGTAAATAATAATTATATCTATAATGAAATTAAATTTCCCAAGTCTGACAAAGAGAATCACAATGGTCTGAGCTAGTGATTGACGCGATGTTAATGACTGATATCAATGTTAGTTAAAACAACCACAATAGTTCATTGAACATAAATAATACTTTATTTACACAAATAAACAAATTTTTATATCAAATTGCTTACGTTATTAAAAAATAGTCATTGACAAAAATAATTGGTTCATAAAATTAATCAGGAAGTTTTATGTAATTAGTTTCGTAATTTTAGTCTTAAAATTGAGTTAATACGGTTCAGAATTTATTGTTTCTCATTATTTAACGCTAAATGCAAAATACTTTAGTTATTATATAATTATTTACTTTACAGCAATTAAATTTACAAACTTGTGCATCGTCACGTAGCCACTTTTGAATCATACAGATATGGTTTATTTATGATTTAAAACATGATTTAAAATACTGTAATCATAATATTAAATTATGTATATGATTTACGAAAAAATTCATAAAGTTCCCATGTAATATTAATTTCACGTGAAGTCAGGCGGGCGGCAAGTGATTAATATGTTAAGACGAGATTTGGTTTCAATTAAATTCTTAATATAGGTGATGTCACCCCTGATTTAAGCAGTGTTATATAGACTGATGTCATGTTTTTTCAAACTTGACATCGTTGTCGCTCTCTCGAGAACATTCTTGAGCCGGAACTGTAACCTAGCGTTTAGAACCCCGTTAGATTTCTCTTTTTGTTAACATAATGCATTTTAAACATAGCTCAACTGCAATTTTCACTTATTTTGCATTTATTTTTATAATATCTTTAGTTTGTAAATGAAAATTTATAAAAATTATCATTGAATTCTTTGAAATGTCTGCTTAACTTAGTAATTGACAAGACTTTCTTGTAAATTTTATTTAAACGCTTATAACATATAAAACTTATAAAACAGAAAACGTTTCTTTAACAATATTCAGTGAAATTTTATCACCTTCTTAGTTTTCTGAATTTCTATATTTAAGTTTTCTATATTTCTTTATTATTTATTTCTATACTTCTTTATTTAACAAATTAAATTCTATGTTCTTATAGCTATTAAAACCGCACTCTCCTATTTTTCATGGATTTGTTAATGTTCTAATGTATAAACCTCAGGAGAACTATGCCATAACTTTATTTATTTATATTATTTCAAGTGTGTTCAATAGGTATCAACTTACTTTATCAAAATGTTTAGTTAACTATTTCATTAATATTCTTAGTTTTAAGAATTTTAACGTATTATTTCAATGGTTTAGAATTGTCTTTTTCGTTGAAATACTTAAAATATTTTTATATTCTCAACTTAAAAGGTAGTTGGTGGTTGCAAATGTGAGAAAGCATGCGTACATATGAAGTGACAGGAACTGGCGATGACAAATGACAGTGGACAGGCCATGCGGCTCCCACGACCGTTTCTCATGATTACCTACACATGACGCTCGTTGTCTACATTCGATCTGGATAATCATTCCGGCCGACACTAATTCGTAATGCACAATTACACGTCTCAATAATGAACTGAGAAAATAAACGTGCCATTAATTTAAATACGAAATTCCTCATGATTCCGCAGCGGCAATGAATCACCCAGGGAATACGACGCTGATGTTCGCTGTTGTTCGTGGAAGCGTTGACGTCGCCGACAGCACGTCTGCCGCAAGCATCGACCGTGCGAGATATATCGAGAGCATTACAATAACATTACTCAGATGCACCGGGCTGATGCAGAAATGGCACGCGTTGGATGTCCCCCTGCGCCCGCGCCGCTGCTGCAAATATAGCCGCTCATGGTGGTTATTCCGGGAGCGGCTATCGACCCGCCGCCGCGACGCCGTCTGCGGGCCTTTTTAGTGAACACTAAACATTTTTGCGAACGAACATCAAAAGTCAACGGACGCGATTCTTTCGTTTATTCTCGACGTTTCCTCAGCATCGCTATATCCTCAACTGTTTCGTATTTGTAAATACTCCTCGTCGTTCACTGTCTCGTTAATTGATCGTCTGAGCACGCGTCCTAAATTCGTTTCGCCTACGTTATACGAACATTATAAATTAATTTTAAATTGATAAAGGTTGTTAACATTAAATTGCAAGACAAAACAAAACAATATTGAATTTCATCACGCGCGTAAATGTGCTTACCCAAATACTTTATTGCATAAATAGATTGTTATTTACGTCACTAATAAAACGTGCCATTAACAACATAACTTGCATTCGTTTATGAAGTTAATTTTACGGCACTTTGAGATATCTCCAAAGAATATTGGAGTCTGGAAACTATAAATGTATTAATTTACTTTACAAAAGACAGTCGATTTCTGGTTACAATTTGTTATTTCTGTTTCTCTTTTACAGAAAAGAAAGACAAATCCTAAGTTTTGATTGAAACGGCCAGGTGTCAATGCAATAAAATTTGTTTTTTTTTTTTCATTACTTGGAAGGTTCATGGCCCTAGAGATTCAATTATTTACAACTCGGCAGGTAAAAGATATAAACATCCATAATATGTTATACGTATGTACGTATAAGCTGGAGGTATTATTAAGCGCTGTCCATTGGCTAGTGCGGTTTAAGAGCTGTCGTGGTTCAGTGGATATGAAATCATCGTGTATCCGAGCAGTCGATCACGAGTTCGTCTAATTCAGTGTGCTACATGTGCCTCCGAGGAATTTGTTTTGTGCACGCCGCTTGGGGTTTTATTTTCATGAGATCGGGACACCGATCGCAATGCATTCCCTGACGTAATTTGTTTTAACCTTTTTCTCAACACAAATAAGCTTTGATGTTTGATTTGGAGTGGTCTTTGGAAATATTTTTCTTAATTTGAATGATCGGTTACAGTGTAGGTTAAATCGGACGTGAGATCATTCACGTCCAAACGTTCATATTAATAATGATAGGTATATTGAGATCATATTTATTGCTGTTATAAATATATAAACATCCACAAATGGTTTTTATAATCTCACGGAATCATGCAATCCTATTTCTATGTAATTGGTTATGTTTATATTAAAAGTGTATCAAAACTGTTAATGTTTCTTAATGAAGAGGTAAAGGTAATTGTGGTTGTGGTGTAGATAGCCCGAGTAATAGAACCATAGATTGTTGAATGTACAATGTACGTGTCTGAATATTACCGCGTTTGCACAGACCCCGCCTGCTCTGGCGCCACAAACGTTCTGATTTACCTCAAACATTAATCTTTAGATCAAAGCAGGTCATGTTTTATATTAAATGGCATTTGAATATATGGCTACAAGTTTAATGTATTGTCCGTCTATTCGAAACTATGTTTAGGAATGTTATACCTTTAATGTCTATACCCTTAAATATGACTCTAGTGAATTGCAAAATTTATATTCTGTATAAAATAGACATTTATGTCAATAATCAAATCTAATTGATATCATAAAATGGAAATATTCTGAAGTTTGGGCTTTTTAACATTCACCATTTTGTTCATGAGAAAAAAATGTGACGTATAATATTTAGCTTTCGAGATACGTTAAAACCGCTAACATTTTTTCATGAACCAAATTTAAGTATATTAAATTTCAAAGAGACATCACATCACTTCGTCTTGAACATTTGTAAAGAAAATATTTGTTAATTTATTACATTAAAGTCATAAAGGCTCACTGTCTTTTTATTGTATAAACGTATGTATTTTGAAACGTTAAATATGTGAAGTGTCGCCTGATTGTAGCAATCGGTGGCATGTTTATTGAAACAAAATGTACTTACGCAAATAGAGAACATACGGCGCGCAAACAAAGACGACGTCGCGACGATCGGCGCCGGCGCCACTGTTTGATACATAGATCACATCGAAAAGAACCTTCAAACTAAACTCCTATATAAATGTTATTCAGATAACTACACGTTCGCTTTATCAATTATAGGAAAGTTATTTATATCAGGTTCCCAACACATAAGACCTGGTTAAAGAATTTATGATCCCCTTTATAGTGATAGTCTGATTAAAACTAACTTCCGGAATGTTTGTGATTATCATATTTATTAATTAAATGCTGCCTATTTCATTTTAATGTTCGATGTTTCTTTATATAAAGATATATTGAATATTATAGGCTCTAGATTCGAGATTTTTTATTAACTATATACGAGTAATTGCGGCTGTTGACAAGTATGAAAATATAAAAGTCTAGCTGGCGCCAACGTGTGTAGAAGTTAGTGCGATTGATCTTATTTTACCTCCACAATATCGCGCCTCGGGTGGGATCTTAATGCAACTGAAATTACGCATGCTTGCAGTTTCATTTATTACGACGCGATAGACAGTTACAGCCACGAACATTTAAATTACTTCTCATACGGAATTAATAAATAAGTTTTTTTGTAGTTTTATACGACGTTTCATCACTTCCATATAGAGTAGAAAAGAATATTAATATTCATTAATCGTTTTAGCGGATCGACCAAAAATGGAAGGCTTCATTATAAAATCTATTGTGATTATGTAAAAAAAAACATTATAAATATTTTTTTTTGACACTAAGCTAAATAATTTATATAAGATTTTATGGAAAGAAAATTAAAATTCATAATATCTCATGCATTATTCCAACAGGATGTTACATTGTTAGAAATTATTCTAGATTATTTTACTTAAGGAATTCGTTCGGCATTGTAAATTCCTAGTAGTATGTCCCTTTTCTTGTATTGTCTGTAAATGGCTATAAGTTACGGGCACGGTGC